AAGAAACCGCTTTCCTGTGGGTGACAGAACCTTTTCCAGTGGAGTAATTCGGACATAAATACAGGAAAATATGTTCAGTTCTTCTCCTTTTCCCTCCTCCCCAAGTGCCAGTCTGAGATGGTGATGGATGGAAATAGTAATAGGAGATCGTAAGGCAGGGACATCAGCTGATTTGTCCAGGTGCTGGAAACGTATCTAGATTCTCTGGACATCCAACAGCCCTTGTCAGAGCTGCAGCTCCTGCTGAGCTGCTACACAGATGTGAAATCCCCAACTTCTACTCCCGAAATCCCCAACTTCTACTCCCATAAAATTTATAGATGGAAAAAGGGGTATGTCTGCAGAAAACCATATGAATTGTAAACTTCCTTATACTTCTGCCACAAGTGCTTCATAAAGCATTTTGACTTCCCTACAAACTCTGTGACTCTCCAGTTTTACATCTTACACAGTCTTCCCTTTAGGCTGTGATCCCTGACTTCCAGAATCCATTCAAAGTCCCTCTTCATTCCTGCAATATCCTCAAAAGTCCATTATGAAGCCACGCTTGAATTTCCCGCACTTAAAAGGAAGGAGGGAACCAGTCAGACCAGGTGACAGACAAACAGACAAGACACCTCCTCTCTCCTGCAACGAGACAACCTTCCTGCTTACTCTGTGCTGCTGCTCTGCACTCTGTCGAACCAAGCAGATCCAGGCCACGGTCTTGCACCCGAGACTGGCATCTAGTGGCAAATACAAGGGCTTTCTCCTCGTCTGGCAGAGCAGCTGAACCACTGACCCAGCAGGTAAAGGTGCATTATGCGCTCAGCACTTTGCAAAGAACGGCAGCTGGTGGGACTGAATGCTTGGTGGAAAAAACATTTTATCCCCTTCTTCACACAAATATTTCACCCTTGACTATACACAGGTGCTGTTAAATTAACAATGTAAACATACTGAAAAACAGAGATAAGCAATATTCATTTATTATTTTCAGCGAAAAAATGGTGGACATTCTTGAACAAAGGAAGGGATGTTTAATTTTATACTGTCACTGTAAGACAATTTACTGCAAAATCTAATTTTAAAATAAAATTTTTTTTGACAGCACAGCAATGTTCTATTTTTGTTACTAAATGAAAGGATTAGTAGCTGGTTATTTTACAAGGGGATCTTTAATGCTTCATTACTGAAGTAATCTGATTTATTCCACATAAGGGAAAATATATATTCTTCTGGAAATTTGTAGTGAATTTCAAGGCAAAGTCACTTCCAATAAAACTGATTTAGCAATACCCACAGGTGATGGCATGAACTCTCTCAAAGTCAAGGAAATTACCTTTCAAACTCTTGGCAAGAATTTCATTCACAATACTCTGCAAGCTTCACAGCACTGAGGGTACCGAGTTGATTGCTATAGGAAATATGCAGTAATTAACAGCTGGATATCAAAAATTAAGAACTTGCAGATCTTCAAGTCTAAACATCAAGGTTCCATCTTTTTGCGGATTAATTCCATGGTCACTCACTAAGCGCAGTGTTTGTCACATGTGACTAAGTTACTGAAAGATCAAATTAATGCAAAACCACAAGGAAATAATTTCTTTTTTTTTTTTTTTTTACTCTTATATTTAAACATATTTCTAAGTAGGGCAAACACCACAGAAAGCGAATTTAAGGGCTTTTAACCAAGAAAACCCCAAGTTTTGATAACAAAGTTTAGAGGGTTTGGGGGTCTTTTTAGTTTTGTTTTTAACTTCAGAGGTTTCAGCTTGAAACTTACCTGCATATAATTTAAAAGTTGAACTAACAAAAAAGTGATAATAATTTTTATATCTTTTCCCTCACATGCCATTAGACTTTCTTTTATGACTATTGGCTCTCCAGGTCAAACTTTATATCTTTCACAGGGAAAATAATTTTGACCATTTCTAAAAAGATGATCTATCCCATAGAGTAAAATCCACTTTCCCTAAGGACAGGCATTTATTTCACATATATCTATAAAGCAATTTTAATACTATATAAATACTCATTTATCTATCTATACAGCTATCTAATTTTGTTACAAGCAGGTTTATGAGTTTTGGAAGGAACCGCCACATAGGGAAGAACATCTGTATGAAAGCATTGTAGATGCCTTGTGGTCATGAAAGTATGCTCCACAAATATGGCATTTCTGAAACATCTGAAAAAACTCCCACCACATCACAGCGCAGAAACTTTGCCTGCCCTCAAGCTCTTCATGTTACAGAATGAATAAGCTTTTCTAGGCAATCTCTGTGAAGTTCTCAGTAGGCTATGCTCCTTCTTGCAGACTCTCAGAAAACAAAAACAATGTCTGGAAAAAGTAGTTTTGATATATATTTCTAACTACCAATTCTTAAGTTGAGGCCAAATGAAACATTTCCATATATGACAAATACATTTTTAATAACATTACCATGCCTTTTATCACAATATACAATATAGAATTTTTTTAAACTATCATTTATTAAAAAATAATAAGTGCATTGGTATTTTTTCTTATGCTCAGAGATAGAAAGAGCACAAAGCATTAAGACAATTAGGCAAAATGATGGATTGGAACACATGTTGCATTTTACTGTTAACATGTATGTGTAACTTCCATTAACGTCAGTATGAGTTATGTGTGCGCTGATAAAATAATATGACCATAACAAAAATATTTCCTCCAGAACTAATATAGCAATATTTTCAAGAGACATTTTGGGAAACACCCACCCACCCCACCATTTAGAACGTAATATACAAATGCCAATCTTTCTCCAAACTTAACACTTCGCAATTCCTTAAAACAAACCTTATTTTTTCACATGTTGGCATCAGATTAAGAATAACCTGATGTTTATGTCCTTCCATCAAACTACTTTTCATTTAATGGGTACTTACCTAAGATCTCAGTTCAGAAAGATCAACCAGGTAATGAAGAAGATTAAGCTGCTATTCATCTTTATTCTAAACTTCCTTAAAGAACTGAATGTATATGGGAACACGTAATGACAACTAAAGAAGTTATCTAAAACTGACAACTGATCGTAGCCAGTAAATTAAGATGGATCTTCACAATGTCAGCCAGATGGGCCTAGAATGCAGAGTTATGCTTGGAACTTGAACATAATATAAGCATAGGAAATCATCATGAATGTTCTTAAACACATAGTTCATGCCTATTTAACTGGAAGCTAGCAGCCAAAAGCTATAATCACTCAATATTAAATTACAAAAAACATAAACAGAAGTTATGGTCCATGGTACCAATTAGTAAATTCCTTTAAAATATCAGAGAGAAGACACACTATTTTACTATATTACTACAACACAGAATTATCATTATTCTGTCTTAGCTAGCTTCTGCACTCTTTTTGAGAACATCTTATTCATTAAAAAAACGTAATGCCATATCTACTATATTCTGTTGTAACGCAGCAGTTTTCTAAAGCTTGTTTGTCATACACTTATTTCAGTGATCAATTTCAAAAATTAAACTACTGTAAATGAATTATCTGAATTCTTTCTAAAAGACATTTACTAATGTGTATCTATTAATTTCTTTTTAGTATATCTTACTAGATTAAGAATCTAAAAGTAGGATTTACATGTAATTTATATTTAATATCAGTCATGTAGCCCTTCCCATACGCACAGCTCAAAAAATGAATAAGTATGTTCCTTTTTGCTTCTTTGATTCAGTACTAATGTTGTTCAAGAAGCAGCAAAAAAAGTAAATATGATCATGTGAACTTGTCATTATTTTATTTTTTCTCTCTGTTGAGCAATACTGTGCTGTGATTTTATGTATTTTATTTTGTTCGTTAACTCTATTTCCTATCTGCTAGATCAACAAAACCATCCTGACGTCTGACAGCTATATTCATTTCTTTCCATCTCACCACAAGCAACAGAAGTTCTGCCTGATTCCATCTCCAGTATGAGCTCAGCTTTGTAACATATTTCACAGAAACTAAAATTAGGATAGAATTAAAAATAGCGATACTTTTTTAAATTAAATCATGTTCTAATTGTAAGATACCAGCTGAATCATAGATGTCAGGGGGAGCGATTTGTATATGAGTTAGAGCATCAGACTCTTACAAGGAATGACACAGGGCTAGGTAGCTGGGAAAGCTACCCAGTAGAGGATTAGGTAACCCTCTGTGGCCTAAGCAGGAAGTAAGCATTATAATTAATTGTATTTTACTATACATGTTAGAAGAGTTTTGTTATTAACTTAGAAAGTCAAAAAAATTTTTGGTCTGCTCAGGATTAAAAATTAAAATTGTGTGTGAGCAATTGCTTCTCGAAGATGGTAAAAAGGTAACGGCAGAAAAAGTCCACATACATACGCAGCTAACAAAGTAGCAATTAAGAAATCAAAGGCAAAAAAGCCAAGTCATAACAGCTTCACTCTTTTTTGCCAATTTTAAATATCATGTCAGAGCTTTAATATCCCATAATTAATAACATTTACCTTCATTGTGGGTAGGAAGTTAGATTTAAATTATAGCTCTATGTTCCTTTTTCAGTTCTATACACTTATACATTGTGATAATATGTATGCAAATAGGTTTTTGTTGGTTTGCGTTTGCCTATTTGAATGCAATAAACTTTGCACCATCCATATAAAGTTAACAAACCCCTTTCCTTGAATTTGACACTAACAGAAACTCCAACATAGAATACTCATTGAAAGATGGGACATTAGACCCTCAGTTTCTCATGGAAGTTATAGCGTGCTGATATTTTATTTGCATGTAACAAAGGACACCTATCAAAAAATTCTTCTCATGTCAACTGTTGAACACTTCTAAAATGAAGACTTTTGCATTTCCATATTTTAAAAGGAATTTAACAGTTTTACAACTATTAGAAGTCCTTACATTCAGACTTAAATATATACATAGAAAAAATACTTACCGAAAAAAAACCCACTTCTCTTCTGGCAAGAAAGTAGTAATTTTAATTTTTCTAGAAATTAGAGAAATCAGTGTACTTACTTCATTTCTAGAATTTCTTCGAGCTGTTTTCTTCTCTCTATTCTCAGGTTAGCCAGATGTGCTTCTTTTTCAGCCAAAGACTGCTGTGTTGAGGCAAGACGGGCTTTGGTAGAATCTAATTCTTGTCTAGTCTTTTCCAGTGCATTCATCAGCTCTTCCACCTAAGAGAGAAAACTTTTTAAGCTCCATATTCTTTACAATAAGTAAATATTATATCTATATATATCCAGAAAAAAAACCCACACAAAAGAAATCAAGTAAATAGCTATACAAATCCATTCTTATCCTATTTTAAAAACTTACAATAAAAGTAGTCTTTAAATACCAAAAAATCTTCATGTTTCCATGAATCCATCGAGTAATAAGCAATATTTATATAGAATAGAACTAACATAAATTGCCAGTAACCTATTTAACTTGGGACACTGCCACATACAGACACAATTTATAAATATTTTCTGCACCATTTATATTACTTAAATGCAGGGTGGTGGTAACTCATCATAACAGTAATTTCAGAAATTTTAAATGCAGATATAGATTATGTATTTTAATATAAAACTGATCATGACAATTCATGTATTTTTCATCAAAAAGTGCACACCCTTCTGTGCAGAACAGGTTGCCTGGGAAGCTGTAAACTCTACAATCCTTGGGTATTTTCAGATCTTGACTGAATGAAGCCTGGAGAATCTGATCCAACTTCAAAGTTATCTCTGCTTTGAATAAGAGTTTAGACTGCATTGCCTCTAGTGGGCCCTTCTAACCTGAGATATTCCATGATTCTGAACTTTAAATGTCTGTTACTGCTCTAATAACAACCAAGTTATTTTCCTCAAGACAATTGTCAGAATCTCTGAAGTATGAAATATAGGAAAGTTAGGGTGATCCCACTTTTTCTCTGGTGTTGGTAAATGTCAACTGGATGTAAGATATATTGCTTATTGCAGGAATTCAGAAACCATTCATCTTTTCAGAAAACAAAATGCAGAAGTAGAAAAAATGTATGACATGGACTATCACATTATTTAAAGAACATCCTAAAGAATGGAGACTACATATGACAGCTGTCTGGGAGCAGAAAATTTACTTGTGGGGTGAATCATATTCACCGAACCAGAGGGTCACGAATAGTCTCTGGTAACTGTGACACCAATATGATTTCCCCCTATTCAAATGATACAGTTTACATTAAGAGCTGCAAGTAAACAACAGATTTAAATTGGTTTTTATGAGATACAATGATTTACATAAAGAATGTCCTATTTCCAGCATTTTCTTTCTCACCTCCTTTGTCCAAATATTAACATTTTATAAATTAGACAACACTTCATGAAGAAAATTTAAATAAAATGAAAGAGGAGAGAGGACATATTCCAGGTGTTCATGTTATGTAAGTCATTGAAAAGTGACACTTTTGCTGGTGTATTGAAAAGTCTGACAATATTTCACTGTGGTCGTGTAATCAGTGTGTCTACAGAGAAAATGAGATGTTTTCTCCCAAGTTCGAGCTTAATCATTATTTGTTGTTATTATCTATTACTAGCATGCAATCAGCGTTTATAACATTTTTTGTTTCCATTTGAACACATATTGCCTCCTATGTAACAGGTTCAATAAAGCAAAATTAATAATACAGTCTTCACTCAATTGTAATGAGGACTTACACCCTGTTTGAAATGATACACTGATTACTCACCCCTTCAACACCAGCTGCACCTTTATAAACACTCTAATAAGATCAATGGAATGCTACGTCTGACACCCTTCAGTTCATAAGAAGTTGTATCTCATGAATGCAGAATCAGAACTGCCAATAATGCTGAAACTACTGATCTTCAACTTTCCACTCAGAAAGTAAAACCAGTGTAATACTGATATAAACAAAATAGCAAGAAGTTCAAATTGTGCAGCAGAGTCTGTGCAGGCGCAAGATTCCACTAAAGCAAACCATGAAGACAGACAAAGGCTTTAGGTGTCTTTGTAAAATGACTATCTAGTGAACTTTCACAGTAGAAGCTGCAAAGAGAAAATACACTTGAGGGAAATAAAAAAATATAAAAGCTGGATTTGCACTTAAATCCTAGGGAAAAAAACCTAAAAACCAGAAGCAGAGAGACAGATCATATTTCTTTAAAAATATACTCGATTTCTAATATAACACGAGATATTTCATTTTCTGTTTTAGTACAAGAACACAAACCAATGCTGTCTCCAACAAGGACAAGCCCCAACTACTAAAACATAGTATGAAATATCTCCCTGTTTTCTTGGGTGATTTTGTAGGCTCGTCCTTGTGTTTTTTAAAAAATTCATGTAGTTTCTGCTGAGCCTCCAGCCTATTCGTTAATTCCAGGCAACATACATTAATAGAAACAGTAGTAAGGATTCCAGACTGCAAAGTCATTGATTTATACAGACTCTTGGTTGAGACAGTATCTTTAAACATCAAGTCTTTCCACACTTGCAGATTTGTTTGGCAGATGAGAATATAGAAAGGCAGAATAGTAACACTTCCCTATCTACAGTATCGTCACCCACCTTTTCCTACAGGTTCAACTGAATTTAGTACCCAACCTGCTGACTGACAATGATCACTTAAGTTCTGACATATCACATCATTTTAAAATATTTAAAGGAATTAAAGACTTGTGGAAAAACAAGCTGTGGATTTGTTAATGTATATTAATAACATACTCTTATATTACCAGATAAAAGAGATTAAAGTTTAAAAGACAGGGAAAAAACATTTAAAAATTTAAATACGAAAACTTTTTCAAACTACAAATCGTTAACACACGTAGACTTGAAAGTTATACCTTCATATACACTTTCAACACAGTTTTTGCCAGCAAGTTGTTCTTCATTTCTTGAATGTGACCCAAGTTCAGAGTTGTATGTTTTCCAGTTAAATGTCTCACCATCACGTACAGCAGAATTCAACTGGCAGGCATGTGCAGAAGCAACAGATTTTTTTTTTTTAAATCAACTACTATCAAATGTAAATGTGTGAATGCTGAAGTTGCACGCACAACAAGCACGTTTATTATATAGCTGTAGCAGATGTATTGCAATGGAAAAATAAACAAGGAAGGCAGTATATAAGTCTATGGGGAAAAAAAAGCATTGCAAAACATAAACCAAATTCTTAATGTAAGCACATGTTCTCTTCTTTGATATTAGCATTAAAATGCTAGCAGAAAAAAATTATGGGTTAATGTTGATGTACTGCCTCTTAGTCCTCATGTAAGAAACGGAAACCAGTCCAGTACTACCAGCCCAAAATTTTAGCTTTCTAACCTATAGCAAATGCTTCTTTTGCTGCAGTTAGGGGTACTCCATCTAGAGAATAATGTGTGTCCAGGAGCCCTCTCCTCTTCAAAGCACTGGTACGGTCCTTCCTTCCAGTTTCTTTTTCATTTTTCCACTCTCCAGTTATTGAACCGAGTCCCCTGTTGAAGTATCAGTTCAATAATGGCCAAGTAAGACATTTACGTACTTTTCTTTCCGTTGTACAACGGATCAAGACAAACTTTGTATTCATGACCACATTTGTGACCTCTAATATCTCACCGAGCCATTTTCTTCCCAAACTGCAGCATCCATTCTACCCCAATTACCACGCACACACCCTCCAGACCCTCACTCACAAGCAGACACCGCAAG